GAAAATGGTGAACTTGAAAATGGGCAAGGAAAAAATCAAGAGTCTATTCTTAAACGGATTGGAGAGACATGATGGGGTTCACTTTACACTACTTTGATTCATTTGATTAAGTTGTTTTCCTTCTATAGTTGATGTCCTTGAATTCGTTATGAAAAATGTAAAGTCTCACCAAAAAGTTGATGCTTGCACTTTATTGGATTCATTATAATCTTTTTGATATTTTATTTTGTCTTTATTTGATGAAACACATATTAGAAACCACTCATAAATTATCACAAAGCACTGCAAAGAAAAGATCAAGATATTGTGAATATTGTGGCCTTGGTTAAAGGAACTAAGCAACGCTTGTAATTAATGTGAGATAATGGATGGAATTCGTTATTGGATGAGGTATCTTTGTTTTGTACTAGCCATAATATATAAGTCTTTAAAATGGAAGATACATATATTGCTAGGGAACAGTCTCGACATAATATTGACAAAGTGACAAGCATGCATTGTTATAAGGTTGAGTTATTTTGTGCGGTTATAGATTTGCAATTTCAAGAGCTTAATAATCGGTTTGATGATGTGAACACGAGTTGCTTTTATATTTTTCATGTTTGAGCCTGGCTAATTCATTCTCTCGCTTATAATAAAGATAAGTTGTTTTGTGTTGCTCGGTTTTATCTTGTTGATTTCTTTGTTAACTAACTCATTGGTCTTGAAAATCAATTGGAAACATACATTATTGATATGAAGTCTAGTTGTGATTTTTCTAATATGAAAGGAATTCGTTGCTCTTGCTGAAAAAATAATACGGATAAGAAAGGATGATACGTTAGTTTATGGACTCATCATTTTAGCCCTTATTCTACTAGTTGCAACCGCCACGATTGAGAGAGCGTTTTTTGTTATAAAATTTGTAAAGAATCGATTGCATAACAAGATGGGAGATCAATGGATGTCCGATTATCCGATCACATATATTGAAAGGGATATATTTAATGTTGTTGATAATGAAGTTATCATGCGTCGTCGCTTAAAACATGAAGATTCTTAAATAAAAATTATAATTTTTTTCTTTTTATTAAAGAATGTTTATGAGTACTTTTTGTTTTAAATATTTAACTTTTTGGCTACTTCATTAAGTTATGATGTATTACATTAGGTTTTTTGTTTTTATGCATAAGACTATTATATTTTGTCTCCCTTAATTTCAAATCCTGACTTCGTCACTATTTCCACCTTAGCTCAATTTTTTTTTTAATTTCTCTTTCTTATTTCTCTCTCTTTTTTTTTGTATTTTTTATAGAATAATTTATACTAATTAATTCTTGAGTATGATATAATTTCTCTCATCTTCACTGAATCATGACGAATAAATCTTCTTGTGCTTCTCACTTTAGTCTAGTCTTCATTGGAGATAAAAATCAAAGACCAAGGCATCTTCATTGATGAATTTGTAGCATCATTTCTGCCATTTAGTTTTGATGGAGAGCAATTGTTATTCTTTAATTGAATTTGAGTTGCACTCCTTCTTTTTTTATGATTTGTCTATGATTTATTTTTAGATGATTTTGCAGCTTGATTTAATTATACTCTTTAAGCATTCTTTTGGTTTGAAGAATTAAAAAAAATTATATTCTTTATTGTTTCGGGGAAAGAAATGAGAATTTTAAGTTTTTTGGGTTGCAATCAATATTTTATGTGTCTCTTTTCCTTATCGATGAATAAAGTTAGGAAAAACCATCATGGTTAAATGTGATTTTTGGCAAAACAAAACTAATGCTTAAGGATAAAAATATTAATGAATTGGGTTCTTGTTTTCGTTTATCGAAAAAAAATATTTTTATTTGTTTTGGTATTAATTGAAATTAAGTAATAGATATTAACTAATCATGTATAAATAAACTAAATTATTTTAAATAAAACGATTTAAAAAATTAAATAGTGGAATCCGAGCTTTAACATTGCTATGTCATTAAGTCAAGGTTTTGAATCAAGAGTTGAAGTCAATTTATCCTTTCTTAAATTAATTTTTGGGTATATTTGATTGTCCCGAGTACAAAGAAGCATAACATCCGGGTATGTTACCGGTTTGTTTGATAACTAAATAGGCGAGCTAGTGGAAAAAAGACCATCACTAGTGATAGGCTGTCGCTCGATATGTGTTCCTATTCTTGAAACTACCTTGCATGTTTTGCGAGCTTGCCCATGTGCCCAGCAGTTGTGGGTGGAATGTGGGGCGGATCGAAAGTTTCAAAACTTCTTTGCTTTAGGCTTAAAGGATTGGTTTGAGACCAACTTAAGCAACAATAGATCCCTTCCAATGTGTATGGTGTCATGATGTACTTGGTTTGGGACATGTTGCTGGTTTTTGTGGTCACGGTAGAATAAGAGATTGTTTGATGATAAATTTATGATGCCTAGTAGTCTAATAAGCATTATCTTTCACTTTGCCACACATATTATACATAGTGTGACAATAATGGATAACTTGGGCAGCAAAACTCAACCTTGGCATGAAAAATTGATTAATTGGTAGTATCCAACTATGGGTTGGACGAAACTTAAAACTCGATGGGGCGGTATAGGTGGATTTGGGGTTCTCGACAACGGGAGAGATCCTTAAGGATTCCAATTGATGTTGGTTGTTTGGTTTTTCCTATTCGTGTTCTATTTTATGTGCGGAATTATAGGATATCCTTATTGGGTTAGAGGTGGCTTGGAATATAGGTTATAGACGTGTCCTTACGGAAATTGACTCTTTGTTGGCTATTCGGTTAGTTAAGGTATCGTAAAGAAAGATGGGGTTTTATAGTACTTTGATTATAGTGATTTGGGAGATTCTAATAAGGAGTTGACAAATTTATCTCACTCATGGTTATAGGGAAGCAAATAGATTGACAGATCGGTTAGTATTTCTTGCTTTTTTCTTGCCTCTTGATGTCATGTATTTTTCGAATATATCAAGGGGTTATGTGAAACTACTTCAAGAGGACATCAAAAAAATATTGTACGTATTGTATTAGTTAACCATATTGTCTAGGACAATAGCTCTCCATCTGATATAAAAAAATAAAAAAGGAAACATAACATCAGAGATTGTTTGCCTTCTCACACTATTAAAAATGGCAATTTTTTTCAATGGTTCGTGAAAGAAGAGAGCATAAGAGCTTATACCATCTATTTGCACGTTTGTATTGGTTTTTTCTCCAATAATCTGAAGTAACCATTACTTAGAATAAGTTTATTTTATTTTTTGTAACTGAATTACACATAGAGGAATAATCGACTTATTTTTTGGTAAAAAACGAAAAAATTAAATAAATATATTTCAAGTTACTGTAGCACTCACAGGCACTGGTTCGCTCCCATACCAGAGAGTTGAATATCCTTCATGTCTGATTTGTTTTCGTCAAAGCCGTGACTTGGTAGATCTTTGCCAACGATGCTAAATATGGTCGACCGATGGAATTGATGGCTTGACTTGACAGTAATGTACCTGTCACTTAGCTGTACACCATGGATATGAAATAGCACGGCAATTGTGACTGGAAGCTCGTAATGAAACGTGGCAACGCGTTGAATTTCGCCACTTAACCAATGCAAGGAGGACTGATGTCTACAAGACCAGTTGAGGTCGTCAATTAAACTTGTCCGTTCATTTTTCGTAGCAAGGGATAGCCTCGTATTTCAACTTAAATTGAACTGATTAGCCTACGTGACCCAGCGAGTCCAAATATAAAATTAGCCTGTTTTAATGACAGAAGACATAATCCATGCCAGTTATGGTATCCGATGATATACGTAGATGATGAACGACATTATGTCTAAACAGATATTGATAATTATCTACCGTCTCCAGGACAGTCATTAATCACAAGAATTAAAAGGGCTTGCTAACAGAAATGTAAAAACAGTAAATGTTTGTGTTCTGTAAAGAACAGCAGTATAGCATAGTACAACGGCCTTCTACGTTTACCTCTTGTTTGGATAATTCCTCTTAGGAGGAAAGAAAGTAAATGAAAAGAAAAGAGATAAGAAAGAAAATCGTTTTTCACTTGTTATTTGGATAAGAGTAGAAAGAAAAGGAAAGCAAATACATTTTCCTTACTTGGATAATTTTAAAAAGAGAAAGTAAAGAAAATATATTATTATATATTTACTATAGTACCCCTATGATTATATTTTTATATTTAAATATTTATAATAAATTTGTGTGAATATTTTTTTCATGAAAATAACACAAATGATAATAAAATAAAAATCTAGCATGTAGCGTCTATCCGAAATGATAAGATAGATAATGAATAGTCTCCTTAGAATAATCGATAAGCTGTTTATTAATTAATCAATTCAATAGCCAATTTAAATTAATTATCAACATAAAATTAATTTAAATATATATAACATGTATTATTATCTATGCATATAATAAATTAGTTGCTTTTACCCATCATTTTCTTCGCTTTTTTTGATTTAGAATAAACAATTACTATTTAGCAATTAAAAAAGAAAGAGTATATTGTAATATTGCAAACAATCATGGAAAGTCAATTGAATCACAAAAAATGAGATAAATCACAAATAATTTTTATTTTTTCTTTTGCAATAATTTCAAAAAGTGTTCGAGTGGCTGTTTTGAAGGATATTATTTATCTATTTTGGTGGGTTTTTTTGAGTCAACAATAATAGTCAACTCTATTAGAGATCTCTGTTGTGCCATGTAGACAATCCATGGATCCTGGAACGTACATTAAAAAAATTGCATTAAAAATCCACGGGAGGCGGAAGTAAAGTACAATTAAATTCCATCAATTTCGAAAACCCTCCATCGTGACATAAAAAGGCAAAAACATTGAAAACGAAGGTAACAGAACTCAAAAAGATAATTTCCACGTTCGGTTGTGGTCGAGATCTGGCGAGAACGACTCGTCGGGTTTTGCCCATTTGAAGCTTTAAAATCTCTTCTTTAATGAAGTCCCAGAACATAAGGAAAAACCCATCGAGAAAACATGAAGGGTTCGTGCACTCTTGTTGCCTCTGTTGTTGCTGCCTCCACTGTAGCTTTATCTTCATCAACCCCATCTTTTTCTTCGCCTGTGGTTGAGGTATTTTTGTTTTTTGTTTTTTTTTTTTGTAGAAAATGTTGTAATACTTTATATGAATCCTAACTGTTTATTTTGTTTTTCAAGGGATGTGAAGGATTCATCAAGATCATCATCAATGGAGAAAAATAGTGGGTCTAATCAGGAGAAATTCGCACCAAGATTTGATGGGTTAAGGTTCATTGAGACCCTTGTAACAGCTCACAGATAATTATAGAGTTAATTGTCAATTAATGTTGCTATTTTTGTTATTTTGAGGGATTAAGATGTGATTAAAGAGGAAAAAAAGAGTTTGTGTTTGCAGAGAAGGAAACGGCTAAGGCAAGGGCAAAACTGTGAAAACAAAAAAATATTTCTTTCCTCTGGTTTTTCTCCCCGTTTCCTCTCAATTTTGGGAGGAAAATGAGTCTCACCATTTTTACATTCTTTAATTTTTTTTTCCTTTCCTCTGGTTTCTTCTGCAATCCAAACGGGAGAAAATTTTTATTTTCACCCTATTTTCTTTCCTATCTCCTGTTTTCATCCCTATCCAAACTGAGTGTTAGTAGCAAGGTCCTCTGGAAATGAGCCAGAGAGTGGGCGAAAATTTTTTTGTAGAAAATGTTGTAATACTTTATATGAATCCTAACTGTTTATTTTGTTTTTCAAGGGATGTGAAGGATTCATCAAGATCATCATCAATGGAGAAAAATAGTGGGTCTAATCAGGAGAAATTCGCACCAAGATTTGATGGGTTAAGGTTCATTGAGACCCTTGTAACAGCTCACAGATAATTATAGAGTTAATTGTCAATTAATGTTGCTATTTTTGTTATTTTGAGGGATTAAGATGTGATTAAAGAGGAAAAAAAGAGTTTGTGTTTGCAGAGAAGGAAACGGCTAAGGCAAGGGCAAAACTGTGAAAACAAAAAAATATTTCTTTCCTCTGGTTTTTCTCCCTGTTTCGTCTCAATTTTGGGAGGAAAATGAGTCTCACCATTTTTACATTCTTTAATTTTTTTTTCCTTTCCTCTGGTTTCTTCTGCAATCCAAACGGGAGAAAATTTTTATTTTCACCCTATTTTCTTTCCTATCTCCTGTTTTCATCCCTATCCAAACTGAGTGTTAGTAGCAAGGTCCTCTGGAAATGAGCCAGAGAGTGGGCGAAAAATGCCAACTTGATATTGACGTAATGAATTGTACTCGACTTTTGGGCCATGGACATACAAATTAACATCTCAAGCTGTGTTTGTTTCTTATAAAATAATCTGTTTTTGGATTCGAAAAACATATTTTTCAGAACTTATTTCTAGCAGCTAAATGATCAATGTTTTTAATTTTCTCTCATATTCCTCTCTTATTTTTATATCCCTCTCTCTCATTAAAGTAAATATTAAATAAAACACTAAAAGATTTAGCACAGAAAATCACTGATCATTTTTCTTGAATTATTATTCATTTATTATTTATGAGGCAGTTTTTGTAGTTTTTGACAATGGTATTTTTATGATTTTTTTGATAGTTTTTGAGTATTTATTTGTAAATTTTACATTTTATTTCTTTTTGAATCCTCGTGTTTTTTAAAGATATTTTGACATCTCATGTTTTTAACTTAGTTCATTTTGATATCTCATTTTTTCAAAATATATTTTTAGTCCCTTATATTTTTAAAAGATGTTTTTAGCCTATTATGTTTTTTAATTTTAAAACAAATACATATATCGGATTATATTTTCTTATTGTTTAAAATTAATCTCTTACGTTTCTCGTTTATTTTAAAATTTTCATCAAATTAATTTTTTATTTGTTTATGTAATTTTATTTATTGATAAATATTATTTATTTTCTCTGTGTATAAATTTTCAATATATATATATATATATATATAATAGAATTCGTGTGTTTCTTTGGCTTATTTTTTATATAATCAAAATTTTTGAAATAAATTTTTTAGTTATTTTTGTTTCACTCTATTGATTTCAATATATTCTTTACAACTTAAGTTTTTTTAAACATATTTTTTAATTTATACTTGTACACTTTGGTTTATTGAGTAATGGTCATGTATTATATGCAAAAGTTTTAAGATTATTGATTTTATTAAAAATTAACTATGCATCTATACACATAACTCCATCTATTTTCTATTAATTATTTTTAATATTCTAAAATTAATTTATTTTAAATAAAATAATTAAAATAATATTTTAAAGAACCACCTAATAATTCAAATACATATTTTTATACTAATATTATTGATTGTTCTCTCGTATGTGTGTGTCTATATGATCAAATGTATATATTTTAAAAAAAATTAAAAATTAATTAGTTAATTTTTATATAAGTTTTTATATTAATTAATATTTTATTTCTTCAATGCAATCTTATAAAAAATATTAAGATGATTTTTAAAATTTATATTAAATTTTTTATTCATATTATTACATGTTTTTATTTAAGAATAAATGCATAACGAAAATCGAATTGTGTTTTTTAACAACAAAATCTATGCAAAACATAAAGAAAAATGAACAAAATACAACATTTGATTAAAAATTTAAAAATTAAATAAATTTTTATATTTTATCTTTAATTTCATATTTATATATATTAGTAGATCGATTGTATAATACGAGTTATTACACTCAAATATATAAGTTTAGTTCGGCTCCCTATGTAGCGTAAGAAACCAACTAATTGATAACTAATAGTTAATTACTCTAAAGTTTTTTGTTTTAAACCCATAAATAAGAAGTTTAGATATCATAAAAATTTATTTGCATGCTTTGTGTTTTTAAGGAAGCATGACAGGTCATGTTTCAAATCTTGTCATTAGCTTTTAATTCAATAATCTGGATTAGATGAGATAAATAAAATATTAAAAAAATTATTTTATTTTCATTATGTGTTAATCATAACTATTTAATTTGAATTTAATTATTTATAGTTAATAAATATAACATTCATGTTTTTTTCAAAAAGATAAAAGAATCCTAATTTAAAAAATTGGATCGCCCAGTAAAAACAAAAGCAAGAGCCCTTGATCGAGTCTAAGAAAATAATAAATGATTTCATTAGCTTTGTAGCACATGCACTTCAAATTCCTACCACCACAAAAGAAAAGAAAAGAAAAGAAAATCAGCCTTCTTATGGTGCACTACACTGACTAGCCTGATTTTTAACCCTATGCATTCGCTTGTGACATTAGTTGGTGCCTATGCTCCTGGCGGTAAAATCATAAGTTAATTTACTGTTTAAAAAAACGGAATCCAACGCTTTAGCTGATTAGCTTCTGCAAAATCGTAGTTGTGCGACCAACCAATGCTTTAATCATTTAAGAAAGATTATTAAACAGACTCCCTGTCTCTTGACTTACGATTCTTGAATTTTTCGTCATTTTCATACTATATCCATCCTTCTCCAAAGAAGTTAATACATGATATAAATCAAACGCTGAAAAAACTAGATATTAGAAAGGCAGGAAAGAATCTTCTAAACTACTAGTTTGCCCCTCAAAAAGTTACTTGCTTTCTTATTCGCCCCTCCAACCATAAATTTCTAAAGGTACATAAAGAGGTTAATGTAGGCTGTGTTTGGTCAGCCATTCACTAAAAACATTATCAATTGAAAGGTCATGATGATAAATCTAATGGTATCTGATCGTTTGGACACCATTTTATATTTTGGCATTAATGATGTTTATTGTACCTTTTCTCCTGCTCTTCTCGTCATCACATCTTCATTCAAATGTTAATTTTCCTATCGTGAATGCTTAATTTTTCTTTTTTATTATTTGCCAAAAATCGTGTTATAAATATACGACGCCAAGGTGTGGATAACGTGTACTTTTAGTTCCGATTTTGCCCATTCACTATAAAAAGAAAACCCTCTTTTTAGTCGATGACAAACTCTCAAACTTCCACATTTTCGAATCAAATTTCAAAGCCCGTTTGCTATGGCAGTTTATGGCTGCGACTCTTTAGTGAATATATACAATCCTTTTCCTTTATTTTCGCTTTCAGAGTCTGAAAGAGCGATTCTTTAATGTCGTTTTGGACTTCTGGTCGACAGAATTTGTGGATCAAGATTAAAAATAGTCATTTTACACAAAAATACGTGAAGATAATTTATTGGAGTGCTAGTTTAATTCTAAATTAATATCTTGCTATTGGCCAACGAGTCAATTTTATAAATGTCCATTTCATTTCTATGAACCATCATAGCAAGATCAATCCCGATAGGGATTCATGAAGATTCTTAGAAATGGGAATTGTGATTCCATTTTTTTGATTTTCAATTTTCAAGGGGATCGATTCCTTTCTTTATTCTTAAATTTCTCCACAGCACCTCTTCATGTTCAAAATTTGTTAGGATTTAAAAGATGGTAATCGGATCAATCCCCTTTTTTTTAGACTTAGAGTTCCATTGTGAATTCTTTCTTCCTTCATTTTATCACTCTGAATTGTGGTTTTGTTTGATAGCATAGTTTAACAATAAACAGCTTTTTTATTATACTAACGAGAAGTGGTTTAATAATTACTTGAAGACAGACAGATATGAGCCAGCACTAAACACTAAAGTAAAGCACTCAACAATGACAAGAAAAAAAAGTGAAACACTAAATGAAAACCAGATATGGTACTACAGACGACAGCCCTTTACAATATAAATACGTGCAAATCAAGGATTACGAAAAAGCATAACTACGGGTACTTATAAAATACAATCCAAGATTTGTTAACAATGATACAAATTCTATCATACTTTAATTTTTTCAGGAAGAGGCTTTTTTTTTTAGTGGAATGGATTTGAATGTGAAGAAAGCCAAAAAGACGCAGATGTTGAAGAATGAAGATCGTTGAAGTAATTGTGCTTTTGATTGATAGTCTACAATAAATTGTGTATAATTTTAAAGACATCTTGATGATTCTCTCCTTGTGGGGTTGTGCTTATAAGATGCTAGCTGAAATTTTTTTATTTTTTCAATTTATTTAGGGTATTCAATTTTGTACTATCAAATTAAACGAATGAAACTTCAAAAAAAAAAATATTTTCATGATTTCAATTATGCGAATGGTATAATTACATTGCGACAGAAAAGTTCTACTGATGTCTCACAAGTATTATTATAATTTAAAATTAACTATTTACATTTTGCAGTATAATTAGAGGTGGATCTTTTTCATGTAAAACTATATCTAATAAATTATAAAACCAACATTCTTTTTATTATTATTAAATTAATAATTGAGGCAAAATGGAATTATGCTTATACAACTACTTGACAGACCATTTTTTAAAGGGGTTTTTGCAGCGAAATTTATTTTGCTTCTATTGATTATAGAGGCGGTAAAAGCAATTTTGATTCACTTCTTTCTGATTCCAAAAGTGATTTTTATGTTGTAGTGCTTTCTTTGGCTTGAACCATGGCGCCCCTGCCCTGGCCACTTCCGTTATCTGTTTTGCTTCTGTCACGGCTTTCAACTGATTCGCTTGGATTCAACTTTACCGTCATGCGTGCTCCTGCCAGTTGTCTGATCATGTGGTCCTCTTCACCGCATTTTTTTTCACTATTAATTTCATCCTCTTACTTTATAAATGGGTCTTTTGTTGTTGTTTTATTATATACCCAATTGTCTATGAAATGTGGAAATATATTTATTATAAGCTGCTACGTTGACACGTGTGTCTCAAAGGGACGCCAATGAAATACAAACTTGAGAAGAATTGAAGTTTGGTTAGATATCGTTTCTTGTGACACGTGGTCAGTATTAAAGTTGCTTACGCTCAAAAAGTATCAGAATCTGTACTAATATCGTACTTCTTTCCCTTTAGACTGATACTGTATTTAAATTGCTGGAACGGATAATGACTATGTAGACTTTTGGGCCTTGTATCATATGCCACTATAATTTGTTAGGTGGGAAAGAAATACAAACTAATAAAAAATACATATGCTGTCTTTGTCCTTGAAATCCTTACGCTAATAAAAAAAAAAAAAAAATGGTGATCGGCAATTCTAATTAATTAGTCAAACAAACTCAAGATAGCCATATATAGTGAATATATAGCATATGTATACATAATATGAATTGGATTGGATACTTTATTTTATTATTGCAGGCTTCAAATCATGATAGGATTTGTTTCTAGAACAAGTCGTATCAGATTTTAATACTCGTTGAAGGTATAACCCTATAAATATTTTGAACAATTCGAAAAACATATTTATCCTATATCAAATTCGTCTTTGACATGATTTTTTTTTTTGAGACCTCAAATGATGAGCACATCTTGTGACGAGTATATACAAAAGAATTTAAAATTTGAAGTCTTAGCACATTCTAAATATGACTTAAAGCCATTTTTCATAGAATGACAAAAATGATATAGCTATTTACTTATTATAACCTTTTAAATTACAATACTTATAATATTACATACAAATAGATTCCTATCCTACCTTTTGTAATCTTGTATCAAACTTGATGCAGTAGTGATTATACAGCTTCGAATCCTATATGAACTCATCTTTAGTGAGGTAATAGTTGCTTGAGGGCTCCCTTTTTTTTTTGCAACTTCGGCATAAAATATAGGGAGACGGCTTCCCTCCTCAAACTAGACCCATTTTGATCCGATCCTAAAATCTTCAATAACATTATCTCGTCATGATTTGTTTAAATTACCCGTAAAAAAAAAAGAATTAGAACACAATAATCTCTCAAAAATAGTTATTGTCTTAACGAGTCAACTCTAATAGATATGATTTAGCTTTTCTAAAGTTTAGGTAAAGCTTGTCAATCCTTAAATCTTTTTCAAGTTTTTTGACTATCCAAACTACCGATGGGGTAATCCAACCTCTTATCTTATGCATCGGGAGATAAGAGAAGGTTATTCCACAATTTCTTATGCATAACGTGAGTTTCAGTTCAAATGAAAGTCCGGAAGAGAAAAAATAAACTTTCATCATAGTTGCCTCTCGAATCTCTCTATCTAAGTTCTAATAAAGTTTTATCTCGAATCTAGAGTTTCTATAGGCTTCCTTCGTGTTATGTGTAATAGTTCAAGGTAGGCATCCAACACAGTTCACATAAAATATAAACAAGAATCAAAAGAAAATAACTTAAAATAATTAAAAGGTTAAGAGAATATACAAGAAATAAAATAAATAAATGGCTTGAAAAATAAATGACTTTACAAAATAAATGATAAAAAATAAACAAATGAGATAAATTAGACAAGACTAAACTTATAGTTTAACTCTAGTCCCTAGTGGAATCGTCATTTTATCACTATCCAATTTTGACAAGACTCCATAAAATTAAAATTTGTGTATTTTCTGAATTATTTATGATTTTATGGGGATGTGAGTTGTTGTTAATTTTGAAAATTGCCATCTAGCATTAAAGAAATAAGGAATCTAAAAATAGCACCGATCCGGAGATTTTAGGATAAGAAGTTAGTTACGCTAGAAAGAAGATATCGATAATTCAAAAATGCTCTTGTCGAAAAAAAGTATCACATTTATCTTAATCCTAACATTTATCTCCTAAGGTGTTTTATCCGTGCCAAATTATTTTCAATTTAAATTTCAAGTTTTTTTTGTTTCCTAGGCCAAATTAAGTTTTCTTATTCTTATTTATGGTGTCTTATTCTTATTTTTATTTATGGTTTCATATTAAACCGATCTACTTTAAGTATCGATATAACCGATATATCGGAAAACTACCTAATTACTAAAGCGATTTTTTTGACTAGCAACAGCTTTTATTAGATAGAAGACTTTTTTAATTTTTCTTGGCATTTTCTATTTTTTTCATTTTTCTACTTTTATTTTTTTTATTAGTTTTTTTTGTTTTACCCAATATTTTCTCTCTCATTTTTCTTCTTCTCTCTTTTTTCTTTTTTCCCCCCTAATATTCCTTTCTCTTTTTTGTTCTTTTTTTAGTATTTGTTTTGGTGAAAAATCATCATCAATCCCTAAAAATTAGAAAACTCGACAATTCCTCAACTTTTAATTACCTAACCTAATTATTGAAATAAATTCTAAAATTAAAATTAATTAAATCAATTTCAAGAGATCCAAAACATTACCATGTAACTAAAAGAGGTAGGGTGTTTGAATAGTGAGTTTCATTGTTCACTGTTCAAACTTACAAAATACTATTCACTCAGCTTTTTTTTTTTTTTGTAATTTCTAAATTGTTTCATTTTGATCCCTAGAATCTTAAAATAAAAATTTTAATCCCTTAATTGATGCAACACACATGGTTTTTTTTTTTTTTGGTTTTTTTCTCTTATTTTTTCCCATCAATTTATATTCTTTTTTTTTTTTTAATTTAACCGAGTGTTAAAATTTTGAAAAATCAATCGCTATTTTTTTCATACAAACTGATAATTATATAATATATATGATATGTTTTTAGAATTTAGAATAAATATATAGTACTTTTATTGTTTAAAATTGATATTTTTGATTTATTATAAAAATTCACATCAAGTTAATTTTTATTTTTACTATTATATAATTTTATTTATTAATAAATATAATTTATTTTCTCTATATATGGATTCGAATAAATTTTTTTATACCTATTTTTATTTTCTTAATTATTATATAATCAAACTTTAAAAATAGAATATGTGTATTTTATTTTTTTATTCTTTATATAATCAAATTCTATCAAAATCAAATTTATATTTTTTATTACTCTCTATTAACTTCAATACATGTTTTATAATTTATTTTTTAAAATATTTTTCAATTTGTGACATATATTCTCACTCATTGAGTATGGTCATACTGTATAAATAATAATAATAATATGGTTATTGATTTTATTAGAAATTAACTATACATCTACACACACAATACCAACTAGTTGCTACTATTTTTTTAATATTTTAAAATTCATTTCTTCAAATAAAAATAATTGAAATAATATTTTTGACTAACTCGCCTAATAATTCAAATACAATTTTCTATACTAATATTATTCATTATTTTATAAATAAATATATATAAATCAAATATTTAAAAAGTAATCTTCTCATCAATAAAAAAACTTCATTTGTTAATTTGCATACAAGTTTTTATAGTAATTTTTGTTTTATTTCTTCAATGCAATGTTATAAAAAAATATTAAGATATTTTTTAAAATTTATATTAAAATTGGTTTATTATGGGTTTTTATTGAAGAATAAATGCATAAGAAAGAATAAATCATATTTTTCTAACTTAAAAATTTGTTCAAAACATAAAAAATATATAAATAAATAAGAAATTTTGATTAAAAATTATAAAACGAGATGAAATTTTTATATTTAATTTAATATACTTTCATTAACCAACAACATAATATATATTATCAAACCGAAATAAATTTATTTAGTTCGATCCACAACGTAGCGTGGGAATCCGAACCGTTTATATGACTAAAATTTTTATTGTCTTATTCTTAATATGTATAAAATTTCTATTTACTTGATGTCAATTTAAATAATTTTTATGCATTTTTTTTTGTGTGTTTTGGGCATTCATATGCAAATTTAACACTTTTTTTTTTGTCCCTCATGTTGTAATTTTTTTTCTTTTCAATTCTCACCTTTCATTTTTCTTTCATTTTCATGAAGCGAGCGCGCACAAGCGTGCGCGTGTATATATATACTTCACTTTATATTAATTTCATTATTTTAATTTATTATTTTTTATGAAAATTCTCATCCAATTAATATTTTTTATACAAACTTTTATTGACTAATAAATATAGTTTATTTTTCTCTATGTTTAAATTTGAGAACAAAATTTTAAAACATGATTTTTTTTTCCTTTTCAAAAAATAAATTGGTATAATATATATCA